TTAAAAGAAAAATGTTAGTACTAAACATCTAAAAAGTCTTTAAAAATTGAAAGCATCTAAATATTGACTTTTCATGTTACTTTTTCTCGCTACGTCCTCTACCATTCACTATCGATTTCGTTTCACAAATAATCGAAGAACCCAACAGTAGGTAGTGAATGTTGTCGAATATTCAGAGAACTTTCAAAAAATGAGAATGCTTTGGAGAAGTTTTTCATATTTAAATATACCCAATTAATGTTATTGTAGGAAGAGGTCAACAACGAATAACTGAATGGAAGAGCTGTTTCAAAGATTCTAAATATCTTTTCGTCAAATGATATTTCCTTCTCATAATTACCTTGCTAACCTTTATCCCAGCCAAGTTGGTAATAGATATCTGCTTCCTCCTCATCATCAGTCGAGTATTGTAGTACACTTGAATAAACTTGTTCAGTCTGATCGAAGCGACCGAGTTTAATTGGCAACTGTCCCATTTGGTGCCATCTGTCCTCATCCGAAAATGTTGCTTTGCGTATTTGCTCAGTTTGGACAATATTTTTAGACAGAGGGATTATCTTCTCTATTATATCTATTGAATATTATTTTTTTCCAGACTTTTGTACTGCACCCTATATCTGCGTTTTTTGCTAGTTAGATAAAGACGAACTTTACCTAGTCTCTGATGAAAATTCCGTTGTGAAAAACAAGCGAGAGAGATGAAAAAAATTCCTTGTCAACGTTCAAAGGAAAGAAAAAACCAAGAAAGTTGACAATATTTGAAGTGCATTTTCATGCTTTTCAACTATCTCTTGCTCTCGTTTGCACAAATACACTGATTGAAGAAAGCATGATGAAAGCATTCTCTTCTCAAAAATATCCAACTTTTTACAAAATTTTTTAGTATAATGATAAGTGATGCCAGAACGAGAATTTTTGCCTTACTTCGGACAGATACTCATACGAAGATGCTTTCTCTCCAACAAAATATTATAGAAAGTCGACAATTTCAGCATTTTCCATTCTATTTCTACCGAATTTTTAGTCTCTCTCACTCTGAGTCATCTACTTATAAGTGTGCACACCTCATTAGCAGAAGTCACTGATATTAGTCGAGATTCTCATACAGAAAAAAAAACTGTAAAACGATCAAATCATTAATTATTTGATATCTGAACATTAGATATCTTTGTTGTTTTTTCCTTGAATCCTATTTTGTAAAATAACTATAAGAAAAAAAACAGACGTCTTATCTTATCTTTTTAAATGTCAATATATAATTTTCATATAACACAAAAGCATGTCCCATGAAGGAGGTATTATTTGTGCTGGTACAATTGTTATCGATTATGTTATAATTGTTGATCAATGGCCATTGGAAAATTCTTTATCAAATATTTATCGTGAAACTAAAAGTGGTGGTGGTGGTCCATTCAATATTCTCAAAGATTTACATTCCATGGACGTAAATTTACCATTATCTATTGTTGGTTTATTAGGTAATGATGATAATGGACAATGGTTAATTGATGATTGTAAAAAATCTAATATTGATATTAATCAATTACATAAAACTAAAGATAATACACCAACATCATATACATATGTAATAAGTGTTGAATCAACTGGTCGACGAACATTTTTTAATCAACGTGGTACTAATGCATTATTTAGTGATATTCATTTTGATTTTAATTATTTAGTTAATAAAAAACATTATAATTTATTTTATCTTGGTTATTTAACAATACTTAATCAATTAGATCGTATTATTGATAATGAAACAATTGCAGGAAAAGTACTTAAACAAGCACAAGAATATGGTTTAGAAACAATAGTTGATTTTGTTAGTGCACAAAATGTATTATATACAAAAATTGCAACATTAACATTACCTTATGTTGATCATTTAATTATTAATGAAATTGAATTAGGATATATTCTTGATCAAACATTACAACAAGCAACTATTGCACAAATTGAACAAGCTGCAAGAATATTAATTGAAAAATATCATGTACAACGTACAGTAACAATTCATTTTGATTGTGGTACTGTTTGTATTAGTCGAGAAAATAATCAAAGATTAGAATGTTTTATACAAGGTTCACTTTATCTTCCTAAAGGATTTATTAAAGGTGCTGTAGGAGCTGGTGATGCTTTTGCAGCTGGTATTATTTATGGTATTTATAAAAAATGGCCTATACAAGAAAGATTATCTTGTGCTGTTTGTGTTGCTGCAATGTGTTTAAATGATGAAACATCTTATGCTGGTGTGAAAAATATTGAAGAATGTATGAAATTAAAAGAAATATATCAATTTAGAATTTTAGATGCAACATCATGTATTAATGATATTAAATAAAAACAACAAGAGACACTTTCTTAATGTAAAAATTTAGTAAACAAAACATCAAACGATCGAAATATAGAAAATTAATATTGATATTTTCTACTTATTTAATTTATTCATTAAAGCATTGTTAATTATTGAATTCATTAATTATTTTCTTTTTGATTAATATAACTTGTACGATAAAAGTATATAGATGATGAAAATACACTTTAATTTCATACATAATAAATAGCCGTACTTTGAATGTCATATTTTTATCTTTAAATTTTGTTTTCTTGGAAAAACAAAAATAGAATGTATTCCAAGATGTAATCTGAAATGTTCTACAATCTATGAAGTAAAGTTCATTTTAATTATATAGATTTTTTTTACCTTTTTTTTGTTTCATTAATCAAAGACAATTCAATTCATTAACGAAAAAGGAAACATAAACTCTCATCTTTGTATTCTGATTTATTACGTGTGGAATGCTATTATTAATAGTATGTAATGGAATAAAATTAAAAACTATCAAATAAAATAGTTTCAAACTGCAAATTTATCTAGAAACATTCTTATTAACTAAAAATTTCAAAATATTTCTATTATTCTATTCGCATAATACTTTAATACTTTTCAACATTATTATTCAGTTTTAGAAATAAAGATTTCTTCATCGTTTGTCGTTAATAAATTAAAAATTTTGAATAAATTCTATTGATCATAATTGATATTTTCGTTCGATAAAAACCTCTTATTTTAAATTCACATTATAGTCAATATTTATCTAGGTCTTGATGTTATTGTAAAATTGATTTAATAGCTGATAAAAAAAAAAATCTCTTTTACGATATTTAATCAATGCACTTGAAACCACAGAGAGTATATCAGTTGATATATGTCAGTTATAATACGACGGATATACAAAAAGGGCGTGCAAGCCATTTCAAAACTAAAAGAATTATCAATCAAAATAGTCAATATACAAAAAATAAGGTATATATATTTTTTATGAAAGCATTGATATAACAGACGTCAAAAAATTCAATAGAATTTCTGAAAAATGTTTGTTTCATTAGGCTCTTGTAATCTCCTTATTACATCGTCACAAGAGTTAATATTTCTTTGTTCGATTTTATTTATAGTGAAATGAAAAAGATTTCTATTATAGGAATATATATGGTCGAGATATATGATTTATAATCCTTGATTTCTATAATGCATTATAAAATACTTTTAATATTTAATCAAGAAATATTTACAAACATTTTTCTTTCTTTATTTATTTATAAAAGTCGTCTATCAAAAATTTTTTTTTTGTCGATAACTTTTAAAAATCTAAAACAAACATTGATTTCATTATTAAACGATGTATAACCTATATTCAACAATGTCATGAGAAAAAAAAAATCAGATGAACATATATTTATTTTAAAGAGTTTTATTTTTCTTCTTGAAATCAATTTCTTATTGTTGAAGGTAAAATATGAAAAAAATTATGCTTAACTTTCAAATATATTGTTTATTAATTTATTACAATTTTTGATTCAAAAGATAAAACATATTCGATATTATAAATTTCTTAGTTTTGATATGCTTGAAGAATGTTTTTGTCTCGTAGCTTAAGGGTTCAGATTGTTATAAATCTTTTGTTATTTCCGTGCGTAACTAAGCTTTTTTTTTCTTATAGACATCAAAAAATCACAAACAAAGAAACAGTCTCACACACCCACATCATACATTGTGATAGATGTTTTAGCAACGTTTGTTTGTTGCGTCACAGACATCTTGGCAACACTTGCCACTTGCATCACAGACCATGACAGATGCTCTAACAATGTTCTTTCTCTTCCTAACAAACATGATAAGTTAAAATTAATAAATGTGAAACGCTCAGTTATAATCTTATCTTGTAAAAATTTTCAATATTTATCGACTAGTTTAAAAGTCAAAAGGTTTTCCAATTTATATATTAATAGAACAAAAAAATAAAAATAATAAATACAATTAATTTTTGAATAATCCAAACTAATAGAAAAAAAACTAGTCGATATTCTGCGAATTCATTAATAAAAAAATTTTCTTGTTCATTCTTTTTCTTGACATCAGTCACAGTATCAAAAAGAAAGTTCTATAATGTCTTTTTTTTTCGTATAAACAATTTTGTATGAAAGACTACTCGAATTTGTTTGTTTTACTTTTTGAAGTCATATGAACTTCGACAAACACAGTATGAGTAGGAGTTCAGCATATAAGAATTGTATTGCTGAGTCAAGTTAGTAGCAACACACAAACTTTTATTTGCACATATATATAGTCTTTCAAGTGATCAAGAAAATGTATTCTGTGAGACATCAATTTATTTGATGCCATAGTACAAAATGCGACCTTGAAATTACATTATGCATTAAGATTTCAGGGCGATGCTCTTTTCTTTGCGTACACAAAGAAGTAGTGAATGTCGATAGAGAAAAAAAAATCGATTTTTTTTTTCTTGTGTTCTTTTTATAGATTTACTGTATATCGTTGTGAAGCAGAATCAGTAGCTCATTCATTTCTTATGTAAACTGAAGCAAGTCAACATCTTTTAAGCAGAGAAATAACCTAACGACAGCAAGAAAAGCCTTTCAATCGTGTTCTTTAGTTTTCTTTTGTTTCTTTCCTGGTATTGTCTTTTCTACACAATATGTCGTCGACACCTACTACTTCTATCAATCCATCATCATCTCGTGTTCAATCGGCTAATAAAATAGCACAAGAACAAACACCAATAGAAAATAACAATGCAATTACAGAAAAAACATCGCGTCCACCATCTGCATCACAAAAAATTGAAACTAATATGTCAACAACACCCGTAACTGCTACTACTGATAATGGTATATCATCAGATGTTCCTGCTATCGAAAAAGAAGAACCAGTTTCATCAACAGTAACTTCTTCATCTGAACGTCCACAATCAGCAGCAAAGAATGATCTTATTGTTAATCCAATTCTTAATTCAACAAATGATGAATCAAAGACTTCAAGACCATCTTCGGCTAATCCAAAAGCAGCTGAATCATCTGTAACTGCTCCAGCAAGTTCTAGACCATCATCGGCTAATACAAAAGTAGCTGAATCATCTGTAACTGCTCCAACAAGTTCTAGACCACCCTCAGCTAATCCAAAAACAAATGATTTAAGTTCACATGGGTACACTCTTAATACAAATAATTCACGGCCAACATCAGCAAGTCAAAAAAATGCTGAATCAACTACAGCTGCTCCGACAAGTTCCAGACCACCCTCAGCTACTCCAAAAGCAAATGATTTAAGTTCACATGGGTATACTATTAATACAAATAATTCACGACCACCTTCAGCAAGTCAAAAAGTTGCTGAACCATCTACAACTGCTCCAATAAATTCCAGACCACCATCGGCTAATCCAAAAACAAATGATCTAACTTCGCATGCAAATACTATTGATACAAATAATTCACGACCAACATCAGCAAGTCAAAAAAATCTTGAATCAACTACAGCTGCTTCAACAAGTCCAAGACCATCATCAGCTAGCCAAAATACAGATACAACAAAATTAAACAATTCAAGTAATACTCCTGCTTCGACCAATTCTCGACCACCATCAGCCAGTCAAAAAACAGATTCAATAAATACAAATAATGCTACAAGTCCTCGAACAAGTTCAAGACCACCATCGGCAAGTCAAAAACTAAATGAAACAACTACAGATGAATCTGCTACTGAACAACAAAATGATTTAGCTCAAGTTAATTCAAATGATTCGAATATAACACAACCAATCATTGGACGTCCATCTTCAGCAGCTAAAATGACACCAACTGATGAATCAAAAATTATGATTACTGTTGATACTAATGATTCACTTAATACTCAAACAGAAAATGCACCATCATCTAATGAAAATAAATCTGTCGAACCTATTTCAACGACACCACGTATTGGTTCAGCTTCAAAAAATCTTCAAACATCAACAACAACAGAAAATAATAGTTGATTAAATGATTAACTTTGACTTTGAATATTTTCTTTTTTCTTCTTAAATTTCTTTGCTTATAAATGTTTTTGAAGATTTTTTTTTTTTGCAAAGAAACTGATTCAAGTTTTAAGACGTTTTATATTAATTTTTTCAAAAAATTACTTTATTTTATGCATCGCATTAAAAGTTTTCGAAAAGCACAACATAATTTTGTTTTTAAATGAATTATCAAGTACAACGTAAAAAAAAAACTAAGGAATAATTAAATATAATATGATCATCTGACAACAAAACGACGATTATTTCTATGCATTCATCACACATGCTTTTAATTTCGCCATTTTGTGTTCTAGAAAATCAAAAAGAAAAAAGAAAAATATAAATTAAAATATGAATAAATAAAAAAAACAAAAAAAAATTCTTTATTGTTTCCATACTTCTAACATTGATGTAGCTCGATTAAATGCAGGATGATTATGTGGCATACGTTTACGTAAATTTTCTAATTGAAATCGATCACGAAGAATATTAGTAATTGTCTTAAAATTAATAAATAATTATTAGAAAATATTTTTTTTTTCTTTTGATTAATTACTTACATCAATAGCTACATCATAATTTTGAAATTTTTCAGCAAAATAAATACGTTTGCCTGGATCAGGAATCATTGTAAGAAATCGTTCAGCTGTTTCACTTGCTTTTTCTTGTCCTTCACCACTTACTCGAACCCAATTATAAACCATATCAGCAAGATATTCTGGTGCAATGATATATTTCTTACCAAAAATACCCTAAAAATTCAACTCGAAATTCTTATAAATTTTGTTTTTTTTTCTTTTATCGAATTACTTGATGTATTGCTTGATGAAAAAAATCATCATAATGTGATCGAAAACCACATTGCATAATCACAGATAATTTACCACACATAATCATTTCCGGAGACATCTATTTAAAAGAGTTTTTTTTTTAATGATAAATAAAAGAAAAAAGAATTTACATGAAATGCTGTTTCAAATTCTTTACTTCGATCGAATATCTATAATAAAAATTGAAAAAATTTAATAATTATTAATTAAGTAAATTTTCTTACTGATTTATCAGTATTTCGATTTTGTTTTTGTTTTCGAAAATCTGTTTCATAAACTGTTTTATATATTTCAAGAACGGTTCGATTCGTTTGAGACTAATTTAAAAAAAAAATAATAATAAAATATGAATTGAAAAAGAATATCTATTTTTGTTTTACATTTTGTAAATCTCGTTGTTTTTTAAGTAGAAGTCGTTGTTCAGCAACTTGTAAATGCCACCAGGAATGTGATCCAAGTTCACTAAAAAAAAATTAAATTTTAATTATTCTAAAGAGTCATAGTAGTGATAAATATACGTTGCTGCTTGATCTAATATCGCCATTTTAGTAATCATATCATTCGTTTGACTAGCTTGTCGAAGACGTGTCATCTTAAATCATAAATATTCAAGTTTTTTACTTCTTTTATTCAATGTCTTGTACTTACTGCTACTTCTTCATTTCTACCAAATTGTCTATTTAAATAAATAAAAATAAAATAATGAAATATGTACCAAATCAATTGAATAAGGAAGAGTATCTGCGACTATCTGATGATTTAACAGTTCCAAATGATTTCTAAAACCGAGGAACTCTACTTTCAGCTATCCTCTAGTATGAAATAGTGTCTAGTCACCGATTGAATAGCACAATATCTTTCCTATAATTCTAGCTAGTTGTACTTGTGGACAGAAAGTCAGCCTAACACTGAGTTCGTGTACTAAATTGCTGGAGCCTTTTCATATACCATAAGCCTAGCACAAGAGCAGACATATGTCCCGACATAGCCAGCATGCTATCTGATACAAACAGTGCGCTGTGAATATGTGCCGAATAACTTAGTCACTCAGTCATAGCAATTATTAAAATCAGAGATTGAACCAGTACGGATAAGAATTTGAGATCAATCAAAATTTTTGCATCCATTTTTTTAGATCTGCTTAATATTTCGTAAATATTGAAGAAAACATGCTAACTTAAGAAATATTTTCATTATTTAAAAACTTATCATCAAGAATCTTTGCCGTGTAGAGCTTGACATTCTCTATCTTTGATATAATCAATGAGTTTCAGAGACAGGAAAATTGCATTTTACATTTGATTCGATTACTTATGACTCATCTATTAATGAAGTAGATAAAAAATGTATTTCAAAGAAACTTCAGTGATCATTAACGAAGCTATTTATATTTGATAGATGTAAATAACTTTTAAAATATTATGTTTTAAAAGTGTCTATTTTAATTGTAAATTCTATAATTAATAGTCAATATAAAACTTACTTAAGCATAGCTACATAATAATCATTTTCAAATTTTAATTTGTTCATATTAATATAATTGTTTATAGCAGATGGATGTTGTTTAATTAATTCATAGAATAATGTTCTTGATAATGTATTTTCAAGAAAAATTATTACCTATAAATTATAAATTAATTTAAAATAAAAAAATTTTTAAATAAATTTTATTTACTGGAACAGTAACACTCGGTGTATTAAATGAAACAGCCATACGTAATAAAGATGCTTTTTTATCATACTCTCGAATATCTTCGAATTTAATACTCTAAAATAATTATATACATAAGATATTCTATTATTTGTTTTTTTTTAATAATAAACTACTTTATTATCTAATAATTCTTTACAACGCATTTCCATTTCTCTATCATATTGTGTACTTCGATCTTTAACAGTTTGATTCGCTATAAAAAAAAAAAAAAAATTATTGAATACATATGAACAAAAAATTATTCATATATAACTTATATACATACGATATTCTTCAGCATGTGGTACCCATTGAGAATTTGAATGAGTATCATTTGATGATACAATAGCATGTGAACGACCGAATCGAGCAGCTAAAATAATTTTGTTTTTTAAATGTTTATTTATTATTAAATTTTACCATGTTTCTTTCGAATATTTAATCTTGGAGAATCCGAACTATATTCAGGAAGATTTTGTAATGAAACTGTCTCCTCATATGATAAATGATGATCTCCTATTTCTTTATTAGAAGAACTATCTGGTAAATCAATTAATGATGATAAAGAACCATGAAATACATTTGAATTTGCAAGATTAAATGTTTGTTCAACTTTTTGACCAACTTTACGTAATAAATTATGAGATTTTTTTAATGGTTTTGGACTTGGACTATTCATAATGATTAATTTATTTATCGAATACTGACTTTTTCTTTTTCCTCTGTAAGAGACTGATGTTAGAATAAGCACTAGACGTCAGTTGTTATCTTTCGTTCTTTACTTTTTTTTTTTATCGCATTCTTCTTTTCATTTAATGGAAAAAGGTTAGGCAGAAGAGAGAGAGAAAAAAAAAAGAAATATTTTCATGCCATTTTTATATGCATAGTTTTTGCTTACATTCAGTGGATTGATCGATAGGACGTGACACTTGTGATGTAGGAATGTTGTTTTTCGGTTGAATATTTGGCGCTGTTTTGGTAGGTATCGGAGTATTGTTTGTTACTAGTTTTTTTGTTATCGGTGAATTATTTGTTGTTGTTGTTGTTGTTGTTGAACGATAACGAGCTGAAGTCACTCCTGTTGTATTTAACGGTGGTGTAGAACGACTTGAACCAAGGATACTTTCCTGTAATATTAAAAAATAGAACGACAGTGTATTAGAAAAAAAATAATGTTAGAAAAAAAAATAGCGACAAATAAGTTAGTTTATATATTGAATAAGCATTGATGTTTTATAAAGAAGAATAACACCGAAACCGTGAGCAGACGAACAAACGTATATAATAACTTACAGTCAATGGATCGGAACGATTTTTAAAACGCTATATTATATTTATAAGATATTATTCGATTGAGAACAAACAAAATACAAAATGAAAATTATTGATTTCTTAGAACTTACATCAATTGTATTATTGCCATCTGTATCGAATATACCTTGTTGACTAACTTTTTTTGTAACTGACGATGAATTCCAATAATCATCATCCATCTATGATTGTCTATACTTGTCTTGATAGTATTATTTTTCTTTTCTATTTCTTATCTTTCTTTTTCACCTATCGTTTGGTCTATGATTTAATCCGATGTGTTTATTTGTTCCAAACAATCTAAAACGGAATGACGATCTATTATTATAATACATCCATATATATATGTATTGTCAAAATTGAAAATTGTTTCTTTGCTATTTTTTTTTAAATGCCACAGCTTACAGCTTTCATTAAGCAAAAACCAAATTAAAAAGTGAATGAGATCAATAAATGACTACAATATAAATGAGAGAGAGAGAGAGAGCGAAAAAGAAAAGTGCATGACAAAAACAACAATACAAGACAAATAATATCGAGAATATATAAGAGAGAATATTTCACTGTTATGATAAAAATAAGAAATTTTTATATTTATGATGGATTATTATTTTGTTTAATTATATTAAGTGCTTGTATAATTGCTTGTGGATCTTTTCGAGCACGTGAAGCACAATTTTCTAATGTATCAGCTGCTTCATAACGTCCTTGTCGTCGATAAAGTAAACTAAGATTTTTTAATGTTGTTGTTACTGTTGGTGTATCAGCACGTATTGTTTTATACCAACCACCTTGTGCATCATATGTACCACCACTTGTTGATGTTGTTGTTGTTGTTGTTGTTATTGATGAATCTTGTCCAAATTCTTTTTCATGTGCACGTGTTAAAACATCTTTATATAATTGTTCAGCTTCTTTATATTTTTGTTGTTTAAGATAAGCTGATGCAAGATTATTTTTTGTTTTAGCAACATTTGGATCATCAATACCCAAACTTTTTGTATATATATCAATTGCACGTTTATAATATGTTTCAACTTCATCATATTTACCTTGATTTTGACAGAGTAATGCTAAATTATTTAATTGTTTAGCAACATCAGGATGTGATGTACCTAAACATTTTTCACGAATTTCAAGAGCACGTTTACAAAGTGGTTCAGCTTCTTTGAATTTATTACGTTTACCTATAAAATAATAGAAGATAAATGTTTTTTTTATTTCAATTTTCTCATTCAAATACAAATATATACCATAAAGAACAGCTAAATTATTTAATGTTGCTGCTACAGCTGGATGATCAGGTCCAAGTGTTTTTTCTCGAATAGCTAATGCATCATTAAGTAATGCACTTGCTTCTTTAAATTTTGATTGATCTCGATAAACAAGTGCAAGTATATTTAACATAGTAGCAACATCAGGATCTAAATGAAAAGAAATTGATTCAATTATTTGATGGAAATCAACGCTTCGCTTATTTTTTTTTATGAATACAAATCGAAAGTACAAAATCATTTCTTCGATATTTTTTTGTTCCGCAAGAATAGAATTATAAGAAAATATAATATGTGCGCCATATTGTATAGACATGTACAGGACAGCCTCGTCTTATAGAGAACACTTTATTTTTTGGTTTTATTTCCAAGGTTACTCAGTGTTTTATTTAGGTTTCATTTCCAGAGTAGGCGAGTCAAAATTTCAGGTAGGCGACGTCCACTCACTAGACTAGTGGCGGCGCGAGACTACTAGCGTCCCTCTTGTTTTGAGTGGGCAGTAGAAGGTGGCGCCTCCAATATTTGCGCCTTGTAAGCAAGAGTACACAGTGTCAATATAGTAGAAGGCCGTTCCAATGCCCTTAGTAGAAGAAGAGAAAAGCTTGCCTTCTACTTTCGCCATTAGGAGCTCTACTATTGATTTGTATCCTGAAGAACACGACATACATAGAGATGGCGCCACCTTCTACTGCCCACCCAAAACAAGAGGGACGCTAGTAGTCTCGCGCCGCCACTACAGTAGACGAATGTCTACTGTATATTTTCGAGTGGGCGAATCAAAATTTCGGGTGGGCGGCGTCCACCCAGTAGATAAATCACTGAGGTTACTAATCTGAAAAAGTATTATGCATATGTGTTACTAGCAGAAAATAACCCGTTTTTGATTTTGATTCTATTATAATCGTAGATGAAGCATTAAATAATATTAAAGACAAAAATCATATAGATTTATAAATACTATTAACACAATTATTGATTAAAGAACGGATGATTTATTCTATTTTCTAGTTTTTTTTTTTTTTGAATAGTGCAGATATGGTTGAGAAATTTTGCTTTTATACTATTTAATAGAAAATTCTTCATGCATTCAACTACGACGATCAAAAGAAAGAAGAAAATGAGAGATAGAGTTTCTCAAATGGCACTTACGAATGATATTTGAAATAAATTTCATAAATATATTCATGACTTTCATCAGATGTTAGTTCTGCACGTTTTACATCTTATCAACAAAAACAAGAGTCTAGGGAAATTCTTTTGAATTGATGTTAAATGTTTATTTTAAGCATCGAATTGACACTAATTCATAGATGTCAACAAAATACAATTAAAATTTTTAATATTCCTTTTAGATCGTATTTTTATAAAAATAAGAATTAAACATAAGTCATTCTTTATAAACTATTTTGTTTATGATAACCAAAAAATTTTTTACTTACGTTGATGTCCGGAAGTTTTTTCAAGATCTTCAAGTGCTTGTCGACATAAAGGTACAGCAACTTCATAACGACCTTGTGAAGCATATTGAATAACTAAATTATGTAAAGTTTTTAATCTTGCTGGTATTTCATATCCAGTTGTTGATATAAATGATCCTGTAGCTGAATGTGATGTTGACATCATAAGATCAGTATAAGAACTAAATTTTCTTGAATTATCTTGTTGATCACTATATATATCTTGTCCATTATCATTATCATCAGATGGAAATAAATCATTAACAAGATCTTGTCCATTATTTGAAGAATTAATATTATTTATATTTGTTCCTGATGTTGATTGTATATTATTATTATTATCATTATCAATATCATATTGTTTAACATCTTTTAAAAATTTTAAATGTTCAATTTCAACAGCATAAGTTGCATTTGTTTGTTCACATTCATGTAATTTTTTTTGTGTTGATGCTAATTCATCACGAAGCCAAGCATTTTCTTGACATAAACGTTTAACTTGTGTACGTAATTTATGTTTTTCAGCTTCTAAATTTTGTAAATGATTACCTAATTGCATCATGACTTGAGCTTCACCAATACCTAATAAAATAAAATTTTTGTTTTTTTTTTGTTTTATTAATATTTATAATTATTTTCTTTTTACAAACCTAATTCAATCATATCCATTGATTTTCTAAGTAAACCAACTTTTTCTTCTAATTTATTTGTTTCCATAGGTGATAATTTTTGTGTAGAATTAAGAATATTTTCAAGCATTTTTCCATGTTCATTCTTGAGTGCATCAAGACCTTGAATAACCGATTTTGTTGATTGAAGTATATCGTCTTGACTCATTTTATATACAGAATAATTACTTGCACTTCAATAATATACATAAATATCTACATAAAAATATTCTGAAAGGAAAAAATAACTAATATAGATTCTGTGTATAATATCAATAAATATCTTTTTGATGCAGTAGGTAGTCTATACTATATTTTATTCTATAATTTGTCGAATCATGGAAGTATTATTGAGCTTTTTTCTTCTTCTTCTTCCTTAATAGAGAGTGTAGACAAGCAAGAGTATTTGTATATGCGAGAAACAACAAAAGAGAAATGGCTTCTTTTTTTTTCTCAATATATACATTGTTCCTTTTTTTTTTCCTTGCAGTAGTAACAGCTGGAAGCATCATCATCAAATCAATAGTAAAAACACGAGAAAACAGGAAATATTTCATTAATTTTAAGAGCAAAATCAATCATAGCAAACAAGAGTTATAAAAAAAAAAAAAAATTCTCTCTCTTTATATATATATTGACATATAAATTCTTGATGAATGAAATACGTACGAAACAGATATCTATGGCAGTTGATGTATCTTTTACAAGTACACTTTGTATGATAATCAAAATGACCTTTTTCTCCTAATTGTCAATGTCTTTATTATTTTGAGGCAAATCAAAGACAATGACTATAGGGAATGAAAGATAAAGAGATTAATGCATATGTCTGGTTTGTTTTGTTTATTTTTGAAAGAGAATGTTGATAGATATAAAAATGGTACTAATCAAAGAATATATGACATTACCTTATGGTATCATAATACAATAATGATTTGTTAGTATTATCTTTAAACAAGAATAAGATACAGGTGTATATGTTCAAACAAATCAGATAAATGTAATAATCAATCATAGAAAGGTCAAGGATTTCTTTCTTATCTAATTATATATATGTTTAATTATTTTAAATAGAAAACAAAAAAAAAGATGAATACAAATAAGATAACTAATTGTTACTCATCATGAATAATAAAAGAAAAGAACAGAACAAAATATAACACAAACGACTGTCTGTCAAAAAAAAAAACGATGGATAAAATTTTTCGTTCGTATTATTTGTCTCGATTTACACTATGATGATTCATTATCATTAATCCAATAATAAATAAGTCTATTATATTTCATAGATTGTCTTTAATTATTTTTCATCTTAAATTATCTAATTAATTTATTTTTAAAATAAATTAAAAAAAGAATATAAATATAATTATTTATAGATGGCGATAGATAATTAAAATCGATGATTGGTTTTAAAAATAATTTGATTCATTGCAAAACGACTTACTTGCCAAAGATCTGTAAGAAAAAAAAGAAAATGATCTACGGACCAGATGCATCAAAATGTCCGATAAAAAAACAAGTTTTAAATGCTGGCAAAGAACCATCTATTGATTTTGTTGATGAAATGAAGGTTTGATATTAAGAATCTAATTCAATACTAAAAAAAAAAAAATTAATATATGTAATTATTTCTTCTAAGATATTCTTTCATTTCTTAACAACAACTCAAGATGGAACAGTAATTGATGATTCTCGTAAATATAAAAAACCAATGGAAATAACCTTAGGTCATAAATTTAAACTTGATTGTTGGGAAACATGTTTAAAAACAATGCGTCTA